AATATAGTAGTATCATCTGCGAAAGCAGTAAACTTTCCACTAACATCAATTTTTGTGAGGTCGTATACAATGAATGGAGCACAGGGCCCAAGACAGATCCCTGTGGAACACCATGATCAATATATCAATTTTTGGATAGCTCTGTCGTTCTTCCTGATCAATATGATAAAAACCATATATATCTATCTATGTGGCGCCTACAAGATAGGATACGAGTTTGTCGTCTTTTTCGTAATACCTGTTCAATGAATATGATTGATGGTTCATCCTGTATCACGATTCAGGAAGAGAAGGTATTCAACTAATCAGAACACTATATACATATACAGTTCCTCGCATCCGTAATAACTAATGTAGCAATGTCGACGTTCTGATTTCAATCCTCTTCAGTCTCCTGACTCTCCTGAAATCATTATCCGGAAATTATTGGTGGTGCCATGACTACTGGCGATGCCATGACTACTGGCGATAAGTGGTTATCATTGATGGCAGCTTCATTTGGTTACTGAGCCTAGCTCTTTCACTCGAGCAAATTTCGGAATTGTATAAATGTATACCTCAATGTATAGTAACTGTCAAACCAAACCTAACTTGTTACAGTGGAAGTATTGAACTGTCAATTCAACACAGCATGTCTAAAGAATCCCATAAGCCACTATGATTTTCTCATAATGATAGCGGAAAAATGTTGCTCTATTCGAGTTTTCTTGCGACAAAACGAAACTTTTGAAACCATGAGACCCAGAATTGTGAACGAGTCTTTGATGATCATTCTCACTTTTGCATTGTTAGAATAGTTTTTATTCGTTGGAAATGTTCATATTCTTTGGAAATTTCGCGACTTGGGGTGGTGAATTGAAAAATCAATCTACAATAATTGGAGATCAATGATGAAGTGGACTGTATAGGTAGGTCGGTATTTATGAATTGTTGACTATCGCAATGTTATTAGACATTTTGGTGGAGCTAGTATTAGAACATCGAAGAAAACGGGGCTGTGATTTCATACCTTAGGACTCAGAGGATAGAGTAGACGGCTTCACAGGTTGAAGTTGGGTAACTGCCTAGATTACAGCGAAACTTGTCACTTTCTGAGCTGGCCAGCTATCACGAGAAATCTTTTGGTCTAGTCGAGATGTTTTATCGAGCGAGTCTTTCGAGCGAATATCTTCGATCCAATTTTCAGCGGATAAATTATCATTCCTACTATACGAGGTACGCTCCGTATATTTGAAAGAATATGAAACACAGCAGGTCTCGCGATACTTATAAATTTAAAGTGAAGGCAAAAAATATGAAACATGAAAAGAAAAACAAACTAGATAATAATTAGACAAATACAAAGAAAAACATAAAGTTGAGGAAGACGGAACAATAATGAATTTACTTACGCATTCCTGAAATTGTCTAACCGAATTACACTCAAGCATTTCTCACAAGTAAACTTGACATTTATAATTCGGGCTTCAGGACAATCAACTCAAAAAACTGCCAGAAAAAGTTCCTCGTCTCACGAACGCAATTTTTACGATAACAATAATTTCTTTCGCTCAATTTCCTGGCAACAAAATTCTCATTGGAATGTCAAATTAACTTCAACAAAAAAAAGCTCCCGAAAAATTATTATAAATGAAAATGAAATTTCATGAAACTATTTCTTGTAGAGTCATCGTAACTTAAGAAAATGGTTATCAACCATCTCGAAGTAAGTTTTAGATGTTCAAATCTTTATCAAATGTCCACCATAGCATCTAACTTCCGAGATGGTATAGAACACCAATATGGGTAAGTATATATAATCCAGTGAATAGAAACACATAAACGGAGTTCACTTTACAAACGGTCCGGTAGCTCTGAAATTTTGATATGTTATCTAGGATGGTTATTGAGTGTTCGAAATGCAGAATGCTCAATTCTTCCCCCTCCGCGCCCTCCGCCATATTGAAAAAACACAAAGAAATCGTCACTTCCTCCAGATTTTCGCTTTTATCTTCGTTTTGGTGCATTTTAGCTACAAATAAGTTCTATTCAATGTTGTAGAGGATTGAATTTCCTATGATTCTCATTCCGAATTTTGTTTCTAGTAATGATAGGTACGGAGATATTATTTTTTTTATAAAATAAAAAAACGCATGTTCCGGAATTTTGTCAAACTTCTAACTTTAGAACGCTGTTATTCAGTTATTGCCTATTCTAGGTAAATAAGTTCCGGAATAAAATTCGTAGAGAATTTAACTGCCTACAAAACACACATAGATGTTTTCAACCAACCCTACAGAGTAGGGGCATATTGCTTTCTTTGGCTATCGGTGGTGTTTGACAAAATCACTGTCAGAATCGTACCTTAGGATAAATTCCTGGCCAATGAGGAAAACAAGAACCGATTTGTGAAGCTGCTCTGCAATGAAATGCAAGCGTCAAATATAGCCACAGACCAAGCTTCCGAAGATGCTGACAGATTGACAGTTGCCACAGCTAGATGTTTGTCCCCCACGTACGACGCCGTCATCATTGTCGGAGAGAACATTGATCTACTTGTCCTACTGACTGGCACAACACCTGCGGTAAACAATGTCTACCTCAGAAAACTAGCAAGCGGGAAACATCCAGACGCAATCTACTCCGCCTCCTACTACAAGTACAACTCCAAAGGCTGTATCTTGCTCCTGCACGCAATATCGGGCTGCGATACCACATCTAACATTTTTGGGTTCGGGAAGAATAAAATCTGCCAACTTTTCAGGAAAGACCCATCATTGCTGGAGCAAGCGAAGAGGTTCGAGGACCCTGCTGCAGTAAAGAACAATCGTTGAGCTCCCTTCACTATAGCAGATTGAAAACAAGTACCACCAAACTCAATCTGGCTAAACTACCTCCGACCACTGACTCCACACATTTCCACTTCCTGAGGACATACCATCAGGTCATGGAGTGGAATGGGATTGTCAAAGACCCCTTCGAGTGGGGTTGGTGTAGAAAAGCTGGAAGACTGAAGCCCAATCAGGATGAGTAGAGACGCTGCGTCCCCAAACCTGTTCAAGACCATCTCATGCAGATGCACAACTGGCTGTATGGGAGCGTGTGGCTGTAGAAAGGCGGGCTCACATTGTTCCGCACTCTGCAAATTCTGTGCTGGCCAAGAATGCAATAACACGGATGAAGTCATCGTCGACAATGAAGACGATGCCGATCTAGTAACTACTTCACAATTTGATGAAAATGAAGACTGACTTGAATAACTCACCCCCTACGAAACGAGCGAAGCGCATGTGAATGTTTCCTTTACAGTTCTCATTTCAATTACTACCGATTTACTATAATTATAACTGTCTATTATCCTTTTTTTGAATCTTTGGAAATTGTATTTTGAAATTGAACATCCCTTTTCATTAAGTAGGTAATCAATTGAAATAGTACCTGCTTCTCAAGAATCACGCTATGTCATGTAGTAATTCAAAGTAGGATTAGTATAAACTCCAAATTCAAGCTGAAACTGGAAAATCGTTAGCAATATGCCGTTGTTTTAACTTTCATTTTCACCCCCTATTTCGTAGGGTTGGTGAAAAAAATTGTACATGCATTCCTGTAGGTAATTAAATTCCCTACAAATCTTCTTTCGATACTTGTTTCCCTACAACAGGCCATAAGTGAACTACAGCGTTCCAAAGTGAGAAGTTTGACAAATTTCCGGAAAGTGGGATATTTAATTTTTTTTTAAAGTGCATATATCCGTAACTATCAGTCCTAGGATCAAAATTCAGAACGTGAATTATAGGAAATCAAATCCTCAGAACTACCGGACTTATGCATCGTATATACCCGTTGTGTTTTGTGCTGGATATGCTGGTAATTTTTTTCTATCTATACCGGACAACCTACTTGTTTTTTTTTTCTTTATCGCTTGGAGCGCACGGAAGGGAATCCCTATAATGTTCAAAGAACATCGTGCGTTCCTAGGGAGAATAGAGGGATAGGAGGTAGGTATTGGTATTTTTTTTTGAACTTCTGGAGATTATATGTTGTTGGGAATACTTCCGCAGGCAATGAATTCCAGAGCCTAGCCGTTCTATGGATAGAGGAGTTTTGATAAAGTGCTGTTCGACATCTTTCGAGGTTGACAACGAAAGGATGTGCTGACTGGGCTTGTCTAGTTCGTCTGACTGGTATTGCTAGTGAAGGGATGATAGCAGAGATTTCCGAAGCACATTTCCCGTGGAAGTATCGATAGAAAAGTGAAAGGTCGCCGACCTTTCTACGGTGTTCCAATGATGTCAAAGAGTAAGTGAGTGTGGCGTCACCCACCAGGCGGATGGCTGTTCTCTGGATGGAATCTAAGAGCATCAGCGTATGTTTTGGTGCTGAACCCCATATGTGGGAACAGTATTCTAGAACAGGCCGTATCTGCGCTTTGTAGATCATGAGAAGCTGTTGAGGTGTGAAGTGGCTTTTCGCACGGAACAAGAATCCGAGTTTTTGTGAAGCAGCTTTTGCGATGGATCTGACATGATTATCCCATGAAAGAGTGTTGCTGATGGAAATATCGAGCATAGATATGGTGGGCTTGGTGGAGATGGTGGTGCCAGACATAACAATGTCGGGCATACTGAGTTTCGCCTTTCTAGAGAAAATACAGGCTTAGTCTTGGTGGCGTTGAATTCAACTAGGTTGTTGGTTCCCCAGGCTGTGATTTCAGCAAGGTCTTCATTGACAGCATTGACCTGCCTGCGCCGTGAGTTCTTAGTTTCCTGGGAAGAAATGGGAATTTTGGAAGAGAACGCAGTATGGAGTACCTTGATATGGAAATATTCCGCAAGTCATTTTCGTTGACTTCATCACGCTTCCATATTATTTGACTATGTCCCAAATAACATTCTTTTAATTCATTGGGATATTTTGATTAGACGCAAAGCGCCGGTTACAAAGTTCATATGCTTATATACATATGAATCACTTTAATCGCTACTAGGTATTTCAAATGATGACTGTGCTATGATATGTATTCATCCGAACGTAATCATTGAACTACGATACTCACTATTACAGTTTCCTATAGGCGGCATCCTGAATCCTGATAACGGATCAGAGGCAGCAAAGGGAAAGGGTCGTTGACCGAAGGCGAAGTGAAATTGCTGTTGTTGTCCTAGAAGGGAAAGCACTATATTAGAACATAACACTGTCCGAAGCTACAGTTGACTTGATCAATAAACATCACAACATCCAATTAGAAGAATATATGGAAACTTATTGATAATGGGTAAATTTACAGTACACAATTTTGGTGAATATCGATATAAAAAAAATGTATCCACACATTAAGGTAGTAAAGAATATCAGTATCAGGGACCAAGAATTATGTCATCAATATTAATCTTGATGCTTTTTCTCTTCAATTATGATCAACTGTCTAGTAGCCATGACCAATGACCAAGACAGCATATGAAAAGTCGTTATTGATGAATACCTACTAGGTTTTCTAGTGCAATTGCTGCTAATCTCGCATCTGAACACTGAACAGTGGATTCGAGTTAGTTATAACAGAGGTGGGTATATCTTTATTGACTAGTGGTTCATGAAATAACGAAAAGAAATCTATCTTGGTAGTGAAAACACACCCCACACCTCAAAGAGAGGTGAATAATTGTAGGTTTCATAGGTAATGGAGGAAACACATATATGAATTACTGAATAAATGACGAGAATAATCCAAGAGGTGAATGCGATAGTACAATTTGAATTGACAGATGACTATATATTATTTTTTCTACAAGCGTGGGTGATTCACCCTATACCAGCACGCACTTTGGTATGGGAAGTGTCATTTTCCCGCAACATAGCGGAGAATTTTTTCCCACACTAGTGCGGGAAATTTTTCAAAGATATGATAATAAGGCAAAATATAAGTGGTAGATGATGAAATATGAGAGTTCGAGTTTGTTTGTTTCAGTATTAATCATGTATGTTCAGAATCATCCATCAAATTGCACAATTTATTGTGAAAATTAAGAAATATTGAAACATAAAAATGGAAACATATAAAACTCCCCCTATAGATTTCGATTGATCTGATGGAAAACGATTATTGTTGTCATGCCAATCAAACCTCAAATGAGTTTGTATCAAGTTTGTAATTGTCGAAGTGACAGTCACAGCGCCGTTACTGTCATTTTTGATTCAGTGGAATTGCCACAATGTGATCAAACACTTCCAGCTATAGGGATGCGAATCCGATGCGTTATTGCCAACGAAAGGTATAAGAAGCTATACACGCGTTTTATTGAATAGTGCAACAATAAAAAAATGAAAACACCGAATAAAGAAGAAATATTTTTAGCTCATTTCCTAGAAGTGTCTGAAACCTAGATACCAAACACCTTATGGGCCTGCTGGCTTCCGCAATGAACCTATACATAATGCGTCAAACTGTAAGTTCACAATAGCTATTACTAATAATCAGTAGATAGAGAATATATTCCTCTTGTTAGTTGTTCCTATATGAATAAATAATCAATTGAACAAGTCAATCAATTTCCTACGCTTGTAGAAAAAAATATTCAATGGCAGTCGCGTGCTGCAAAGAATCACTTTCCGCACTTGTTAAGAAAATTACTATTTCATGGTGCAAACAATAAGAATTTATTGTTATGTTGATATTCTGTTTTCTAAGGAATAAATGTTGGACATATCAATTAATTTTCATTCTTACCCATTATTTTATTCACTGAAATGTTTATATTCTATACACGCGATGAATAATACGTTCTTCTCATCTTTTGGGGCACGCGAAAGGTAATCCCTATGATGTTCGGGAAGCATTGTGCATACTTATGAAAAAGTAGAAAGAGGAAGTGGGAATTTAATTTTTTTCAACATTTTAGAGATTATAAACCAGACGGCACAAACATATTCCATGAATATCTCGTACATATCGCGTTGGAATATGGGCTCATGCCATTCCATGTCCTCCAGAACATATTACATGCATTTCCAGGCATATTTAAAGTCACGATGAAACATATACCAGGAATATATGTCTATCTTCCGAAAGATATTGGTGGCATATGATAGGTACGTGATTCTGTATTTATGCATAGAATGTGCTTTCCAATCATAATTAGAATGAAATATTCATATGATATGTAATTCATTACATTTGAAGTGACAGGTGTTAACAATAATTTATTATTATGTGGACATTTTGTTTCCGAAGAAATGAATGTTGGACACATCAATTAATTTTCATTTCAACCCATAATTTTTTTCACTGAAATGCTCATATTTCAATACACGCGATGAATAATCACGATTTATTATCTTTCGGCGCACGCGAATGGTAATCCCTATGATGTTCGGGAAGCATCGTGCATACCTATGAAGAAGTAGGAAAAAGAAGTAGGAATTTGATTCTTTTCAACATTCAGAGATTATGAACCAGACGGCACAAACATATTCCATGAATATCTTGTACATATCGCGTTGGAATATGGGCTCATGCCATTCCATGTCCTCCAGAACATATTATATGCATTTCCAGGCATATTCAAAGTCAAACTACGTGTATCTTCCGAAAGATATTGGTGGCATATGATAGGTATGTGATTCTGTATTTATGCATAGAATGTGCTTTCCAATCATAATTGGAATGAAATATTCATATATGATATGTAATTCATTACGTAAATGGTGAAAATCAACAAACAGGATGTGACTATGTAAGATGCTAGAGGTTTGCACTTAAAACGTATATATTGTTTCTTTCTTCTCTTGATTGGTAGCGGTGATGAACTGGGTCTGCAATGGGTACATACATGAATGGCATAGCAACTACTTGAATATATGAAATCAGATTGAATTCACTTACATTTGCTTCGGGCGTCCAACAAAAGTTTAAAGAACCAGCGTTCATAGTAAAAAACCAAAGATAGGAACTGAATTCGTCAACATCTACGTTAGTCACAGCTGTTTTCGATCGATTGTTAATTTTTTTCTTCATGTTTATATATGTAGTGTTACCGAGAGAAGGAATTCGTAGGAAAGGAGTAAACTTGTTTATGAACTCCAAACATGAGAAACAATGATACACAAACTACAATTATTCTTGTCAAAGATTGGATGTTAACTTTAATTCCGACTATATCTTCAACAGCACCACCATTTCTTGGATTTTTCATCTAACAAATGGATAGATATAAGTATCAGTCCTCTCACTGGTATTGAGTGTAATTAAGTGCCCTTGTGATTCTTTTCAGGTTAGGATTTGAGATACATATATGACTCTATGAGGTCGTTTCAATGGCGATCAGAAGGGAAGATCAATGGTTAATGTTCCTTTTTTCTATTGTAACTAACTTCAAAAGTCCGGAGCTTGTAGGTCGCTTCATCATTGATATTCACACTATTCACAGTGATATATCGATACGCATTCTATATAGCACTTCAGCTGAAACAACTTATTCAATGCGGCTTATTTCGTTTGTGTATAATGAGAACAAATGCGTCATTCGCATCGATGTTGATATCACGTCATTCTCTAGGTGACTGGAACAAAAGGCGAAAACCGACAGACTCACGTCGTGTCCATTTGGGATAGGTCGGCATTCCGAATATTCGAAAACCATATTTCAGCAATATTCTCTGAGGGTAATAAATAAAGCAAATATTCATGGAATATTCTAAGGAAATGGCAATATTCATTGGAAAATAGGATGTAGTAGGCATATTCTAGGAAAATGAGGTGCCGTCTGAGAAGTTTCAAGGGAATACTTTCTTAGGCAAAGTATCCCAAAGCTTTGCCGTTCTATAAACCAACCAGTTTAGGTGAAGAGTTGTTCGACATATCTCAAGGATGACGACGAGAGGATGTGAAGCTGACTGACCATGTCGATTTCGTTAGACTGCGGTATCGCTAGTGATGAAATGATAGCATATATTTCTGAAGAAATTTTTTTGTAGTAGTATCTATAGAAAACTGAAAGATAGCCTACTCTCCTACATCAGTGTTCCAATGGTGTCAAAGATTCTCTGACTGGAGCATCACCAACCAGGCGAATGGCTCTTCTCTGGGTGAAATCTAAGAGCATCTGTGTGCTGAACACCATTTGTGGATAATATTATTATATTTCAACGTCACGTTGTATTTTTCGATGAAAATAGTACATCAAGGATGAATATATATCAGTACCTAATTTTCATCTTTTTCTTTTAGTCCTTGTTAATGAACGCATACATATTCTTCTTGTCACAAACCATAAATATGAAGAAAGTCATAAAGCATCAATTCTCTAAAATAAAGAAACATCCCAGCAAGCACAAAAACATCTCAGAGATGTTAAAAGTACGAGATGTCGATACATTGATCCTTCACTGCGATGTTTTGTTCACATATGAATAGAACTTTTATAGAACAGCTAAAATCTGCTGCAGGCGGCGTTCTTTGGGATGTCACGAAAATAACTTATCCCTAGTTTTTTATATATTTTACATACCCTACGTTAACTCATCTTCCTTTGTTTATCAATGAAACCTCCATGATGATGTGATAATTTTCAATGAAGCTATCAATATGAACATTGTAACATGGAACGAAAAGTCATTTCTCAAATACAATCAATTTCATTATAAGCTACATGAATATTTCATGTTCCTAATAGATATACTCATTGAGTGATGTAATTATGGTGATTGATTGTTTATGGTCACAGATACATATATCAATGGATGTTATGATAGCTCGATGAAAAATAAATTATTGTCATAAATTGAAAAAATGTATCATTCATAGTTTTGATGAATATTGAGTTGATAAGTGTACGTCTGGGCTATCAGCATGTTACGTCGTCACAGCCTTCTGAGGATTTCAAAGTGTTTTTCAGTTTTATTTCACTGACGAATGCCGGAGATTAGTCTCCAACTTGTTGCTTTTCCTGTAATAATGACAAGAAGAAATCCAGGGGATAGGCACGCAAGCATGGTATCTGTCTTTATTTACTGCCTTCACGCATTCCTGGGTATAAGAATAAACCGCCCGGGTGATAAATTGCTCTCTATTTAATATCCACCCGAAATCATTTACTGTTTTGTCTACGCGCTACGAATGCTAAATGGTATACCTTATACAGGGTGTTCCTTGAAGACATGCTAATATTCAAGAGGGTGATT